TTGAAATATGGGTCCCTATATTAGGGTCCAATATACTGTAGGTACTTAATAAATAGTTGTTAAATGAGGAGGGTCTTAAGGTAAAGGGTGGGCAACCACAGGGAACATTAAGTTAACCAGAACAACAGGTCATTCTCCCATACCACTTAAATGTTTTTAAGTATCTTAACAGCTGTATTATTTGATTATAAAAATGTCACAATCAACACTTTATTAGCATATTCAACTTTTTACATTTTTATCTGCAGTGTAGGATAAACTACTAGGAATGGAATTACTGTGTTTAAGCATATAAAAACTCAAAAAAATGATATAGAAGCTGCTTTTGAAGACTGCACTTTTGTCATCCATGTTGGCAGCTTGGTGACAGTTTTTTCTAAGAACTACAACTGGAAGACAACAGTCACTTCATTAAAAGCTATTTTGATGTAACTTGCAAAAAGAAGTCTAGTGTACAAACCTTTTTTGTACTGAAACTTGCATCAAAGTTATCAGAACCTATTCTTGTCTACTCTGATTCTCACCATGGTAACACAGAAGCTCTAAAGGAACATTAACAACTGGGTATTCGGGCTGAAATTACACTCCTTGACTCAATTCTTAACAAAATGTATTCAGTAAACAAATATTTACTAAGCACTCCCATATATCTCAGGCACTATACTAAGTGCCCAGGAAACTTCAGTGAATATGGCTCTGCTAAGAGGCAAAGGCTCACGAGAGATATAAATGCTTTCAAAGAACAGAACAATGGTAAGACTGGTTTTGCCTTAGTTCTTATTTGCTTCTCATACACAAGATTAGAAGACAAAATCTATAAGGATTAGCTGGTCTAATGATAACTGTTTCTCCAGATTCTTTGCTATGATGCTGTGAACTGGTTGGAATTTGTGCCTCTGCAACAAACCTTCCTTGCTGAAGCCCCCACCAAGCCAAGTGTGACAGCTGTCACACCAAGAGGTCTGCTCTTACACCTGGAATTGCACACAGACGTTTGCTGGCTGTATGCTGCTGATACAGCTGTGGTTGGCCAGATCCAGGGAAATGCTTGGTGTGAGGCTGGCAGTTGACAATGGTGAATCCTACAAAGAAGACGTTTTCACCAATCTCATTTTGACATAAAACTACAAATTTATAAATAAAAAACTTTAGCTTTAGATTCTGGAATTTGATAAGCCAGCCTTGGGAGGAAAGAATCTCACCATAACCAAGTACCTTGAATTTTCAATTTGCCAATAGCTGGGCCTAAACGGCCACCATTATAATCTGGTTTATTTGCTTCTTTATCATAGACTCAAAACCACTTAAAAGGAACTGACAGATGTGGAATTTAAATACGGCAGTACGATGAGCCACTCTACAGGTGTTATATTGACTCCCTTCTTAAAGTAGGCTATACATCTCTGAGAAGTATTCTGCTGGCTGCCTGGACCGAGTATGTGGAACAGCAGTATCTAGGCTACTACAGATGCCCCTGTATGACCATGTGAATGGAATCTGGAGAATCACTGAGACAATGGAAGTAGTGTTAGGGGATACCTGAGGGTTTGCCTGTTAATTCTGTATCTATCAAATTCTGTACTTCAATACACCTAAATACTTCACACAATCTATGGATATTATGAAGTAATAAACAGACTTATGCTGACACTATTACTAATGATCTTCTCTTTGGCATAAAAAAAAAATATATATATATAAAACAATAACAATACTATACAGAGCAGTAATGGTAGTATACCTCCATTCAGGTTCCTGGACCCGATTCCAGCATGTGTTAAGTATATGAGAGGGGGGCAACACCAAGCAATTCTCAAACACCAGCAGGGTGTTGGAGAACTCAACTCAATTCTGATGCTATCTGCCCAGAGAGAGCAGCAGATTCCCCAGGTTAAGGGCTCTGTCCTATAGGACTGCCCTCCACCCCCTACTCAGGATACTGGTTGCAAGCCCCAGGCTGTTACCTGTGCTTCTGACCTATGGGACTACAGATCAGAGATTACCACAATCTCTCCCTTGGGTTCGATTAATTTACTAGAGCAGCTCACAGAACTCAGGAAAACATTTATGGTTTACCAGTTTAATAAAGGATACCATAAAGGATATACGAAGAGATACATAACGTAAGGTCCCAAATAAAGGAGCTTCTATCCTTGTGGAGCTTGGGGCCTGGCTCGGTGCCACAGGGAGGTGGTTCTGGTATCCCAAGCTTAGAAGCTTGGTCTCTGACTGAGCAGAGAATGATAAGCTCTTCTTAGGGGTTTTGTGAGGGCTTCATTGCATGGTCATGATTGACTAAGTTACTGTCCATTGGCTGATTCAACCTCCAGCCCTGCCCTTGGGTCCAAAAGTCTCACTAACATGACAAAACACCCATTTCACCTTTAAGACTGCAGTTTTCAGGAACTGTGGATGAAGACCAAATACACCTGGGAAATATATTTTGGCTATATGAATGGCCATGCCTTTTATGAATCTGGTATTTCTTAGGCCTGGAGTCTTTTTGGAGGATTTGTATCTTTTGGAGGACAGTTACCCTTTTGAAAAATTGTGTCAGCTACACTTTAGAATTCACTTTGAAGGGAAAAATTAAAATTTTGCAAGGGTAGCATCAATCAGTAAAATAAAATTTAAGTAGTTCTGGTGCAAAACAATTCCCACTAGCAGAATTGATTATCAAACAGACTGATTAAGTGCTTCTCAACCTTTAAATGCATTTTAACAAGATCTACTGTATGCACAATTCTGATTTAGTAAATTTGGGGTGAGGTCTGAGATTCTGCATTTCTAACAGCTCCAGATGATGCCTTTGCTCCTAGTTTGGGAATTCGGCAAAAGGGCAAGGCAGCAAAGGGCCATTAGAGCTCGGGCAAAATTCAGAGGCTTGGTTGGTAGCACAACAGACCAGGCCGAGAGGTCACCCAATCAGGAAAGGAAACTAACACTTCAACTCCTCTTTGTCCTTAAGGCTAAACTGAAGGACTACTGCTGAGATTTTAATGAGTCTCCCAGAGTTTTGCCCTTTAAAATGTAGTCCGGCCATCATATTTTTTCAAATTAATGTACAGGTTTAATACAATCCCAACTACCACTCCAAAATGATTATATTGGAAATAAAATTATTCCAAGATTTCTCAAATAGGTAACAATGGAAAGAAAAAAAATGGATGTGGGATGGGGCTGTAGAATGCAGAATGGGAAGCTATGTGATAAAGGCATCATATATCATTAGTAAAGGGAATAAATGGTGTTGGACAATTATTCAGTTATTTGACACACACACAAAGAGCTAATTTAGACTCTAACTCACAATGTGCCCCTCCTCCCAATAAATTCTAGATGAATGAAACTTAAAAAGTCAACAGAAACAAAAATAGGAAAACCCTACAAGAGAAGTGAATATCAAATTGGGAGGTAAGATGATCAAATTTAGGAGAAATGGAAGAAACAGAAGGGAAAAAAACAATAGCTCTGTGTGTGCATTCTCAGTGTTAAGAAATAATAATATTAGAAGAATCACCAGGAAATCTTTCTATTAATTATGACAGAGGAATAAGAAAAATAAAATACAAAAATTAGCCTGGAAGTGTTTTCCAAAAGAAAACAGCACAGTGTGTTTAGAACTTACAGATTTAAATCCTGTCCTCTTTCCTTTCCCAAAACCTCTACGGCAATTTATTCTTATCAACAAACATTCTAGTCTCTCACATTAAAACAAAAACAAGAACCAGAGTCCCTACCATATTTTTAATTCAGCTACCAATCCATTTCTCTATTCCTTTGCTCATCATCACAACAAAACTTCTCCAGCCTCCACTTCCTCTTCCCTTTCCCTTTTCAAATACTATAGCTCATCTGGCATCTATCCCACCTCTCTATTAAAACAGCTCTCATTAAAACAAAACAACCCCCCACCCCAACACACACACAAAAACCCAGTGACCTCGGGCCCATCTTCACCTTACTCCATCTCTCAACACACTTTGACACTGCCTACTCACCTTCATGAACCATTCCCCCTCTTAGCTTCCCTCCTACTTCCTGGCTGTTCTCTTAATTGCCTTTGTTGGTGTTTCCTCTACCCAAATTTTAAACCTGCTCGATCCATAAAGCAGTCCACTAGTCACATATCACTACCGAGCACTTCAAATGTGGCTGGCCTGTGAGATGTGCTGTAGGGGTAAAATTAGCTTTGCATTTGGAAACTTTGGTGTGAAAAAAGATTTAGTACAATTTTGAAGTCTTAGTATGGGCTTTGAAGACTCTGTACATGTTGAAGTACTTTGGTACATTGGGTTAAATACAGTAATCTCAGCTGTTTCACTGTACCTTTTTAATATTACTAGAAAATACAACACTGCGTATGTGGCTCACATTGTATTTCTACTGAACGGTTTATACCAGGGGTCAGAAACATAGTACTATTTTCAGACAATGGGAGTGTCCACAAGGTAGGATTCCCAGATGACCCATAATTACTGGTGGGGCAAACAAGCAGTGGAGACTGAGGGAAATGGTTCAGCAGTTCAGTTTTCAGACTGCATGGCAACTAAGCCCTACATTAGCTTGCTTTGAGAAACTCAACTGTGCCCATTAAGGTTTCTGGTTTCTTTTAGAAACTAGTTTTTGTGTCTAACTTAAAAACCTTCGACGGATTCTCTTTTTTCTTTTTTAAAGACCATAGCTTGTGATGGCTAAGACACCGGCACACCCCAATACTCTAGTCAATCCCTGTTAGTCTGACAATACAAGCACTGTTCCTCTAAAGAGGGCATATGTAAAAGAGATGCTGCCCCACTGTTGGAAACAATGCCAGTTGTACCAACTGGACAGAGACACTGAAATCTGGCAAGAAACTCAGCAACAAAAGTGAAGTTGAGAAACCTCAAAGACTTGATTTGTTCAGACCTTAAAGCAAAATAAAAAATGGACAAGAGGTACACATGTAAATCAACTTAGAATATTTAGACTTAAAACTCTTAAGTATGAGAACTACTAACCATTCTATCAGCACTCCTTTCAAGACGTTGACCATCTCTTCCCAGGTGCAGATGACCTTAAAAATGCTAATAAAAGGGATAAGGTGACATAAAATTCAAAGGCATCAACTTCAATATACTTTGGTGATTCATCTCTGAAATGAGACAAAGTATTAAAAGTCAGTATTAAATATTTAATCTATGAGACATAAGACTAACATTAAAAAAGTTCAGATATTCTTATCTTTAACACAATTGAGTCTATTAGAATATTAATGCATAATTCTTAATTGCAAACAAATGAAAGCAAGTGCCTTAACGCTACACCAGTGTGCCCGACCCAAAACAGTAAAAACATTTCCCTTCTACCCAGGAGTATGATAAAAGGTAAAATACTGAGAGGCACGAGTCACAAAATAGTTGCTCTGAAGGGAGCCTTAAAAATTATAAGGTGAGTCCAACCATCTCCTTTTACAGATGAGATTTACCAAGAGTAAGCCACAGCTCCTAGCCAAAAAAAAAGGTACAAACCAGGTCTTCAGATCTTGCGTTCCTTTACCAAATAAATCACGTTGCCCCAGGATCTGAGCTGGAAGGAAAAGAACCCAACCAGTGGACGCATACTTAAACAACTTGGGCGGTGGGCAAGCAGCGCCTCCCCAAGGAAATCCACAGGTCATTACTACGGGACACCCTCCCGGCCTCGTCAGGAAGGGCCTGCAGAGGGCTCGGGACCCCGCCCTGCACCCCACCACCCGGACGACAGGCTCCTGGGTCTTTCTTCCCTCTCCCCTCTTTCTTCGGGAACCCCTTCTCTTCACGCACCCCACTTTCCTTCTTGCTCGTGAGTCGTCGCCACGCACCTCCGCCGTGCAAAACCGCAGCGCCTCGGAGTTGCCGACAAAGTGCGCCTGCGCCAGCGACGCTCTCGCGCCGGCGACGCTCTTGTGGGTGGAACACGCCAGCGGGAGGCGGGGCGCGGACTGGACAAAAGAGGCGTGGCGTGGGGGCGGGATCACGCGTCGCCTGTCGCCTGTCACCGTGTAGAGGGCGCGGGCTGGGATCCTCCAAGAGGGTGGGCTCCCCGCCGACCGGGTCCGCGGTGAGCCGCTGGGGGCGGGCCGAGTCCGCGTGCCTGGCAGGTAGGAAGGGGAGGCCGGGCTCGTGGGCGCGGGCGTTGGCGAGTCCACGCTCGGCGGGGAGAAGGGAGGGCGGCGACGGGGCGCCCCAGCGGGGACGCGACGCGCTGACCCTCCGCCGGCGTGAGGACCTCCCTCCGATCCTCGGAGCCCGACTCTTTTTTCCCTGTCGCCGCCCGCCTCTAATTCCTCTCCGAGGCCCAAAGGGCACCTGCCGGTACCATTAACCGGCCTGGTAGTCACGGAAAGATGATGACAAGAAGGAAACTGTCCTCATACAAGTCGGAACCTTCCAGAGCACAGTTTCTAGCACTGACCCTGGAGTTTGAATAGATTGAGTGCTGATAGGTCTTTAAGCCAGGTAACGGTCTTAAAGTGATAGACCCCCAAAGGGTTCTAAAATTAATCCCTTCCCCAAATTCTGATGTGTAGTTTAATAGAGCTTTTTCTTTATTTTTTTACCAGTGGAGATAGGAGGTTCTTGATTTCTGTTCCTTAGGTTAAATTGTACTTCCCCAATTAAGCTCTGCTGCAGATTTTTAGGTCTTGTGTGCATGTCATTTGTTTAACTCCTGCTGTCACTTAAATCATTTCCCTCCTGTTGGTTTACATTGTGCTCGCAGCGCTCTCTCTCTCTCTAATCTGCCCCAAAGTTCTTCCCAAAGTTATCTTTTCTTTGCTTTTTCTTGCATACATTTGCCTCCTTGACCATCTTATCAGATTCTCTGTTGAACTTCCACTCTCCTGCTTCAGGTGCTGGCCTGAGGCCTAAACATTATGACCTGTGTGAGTAAACAGCTCCTCTCAGACTGAACCAGTTCTTATCTTGGGGTATGCCAGTGGGGAGATGAGGCACTAAAACCAGTTAACAAGAAGGTATCAGATGGGGATGTGATAAAGAGTGACTGGAAGGGCTACTTTGGTTAGAGGGTGTCAAGAGAGGGCCTTCAGAGATCCCAAATCATGTAACTTAAGTAGGCAGTGGGGAGAAAACAGCTCTCCTGAGAAAATGATTGTAATATTTATCTGGAAAAGTCAACTAACAGCTAAGAAAAGTTTGATACAGAGGAGTAATGCTATCAAAATATACTATAAAACTACTGCATTTAAAACAGTATGACAGTAGTACAAGAGACAGATCAATGGAATAGACAGCCAAGAAACAAAAGAAAAATATGTATGTGTACATGTTTATGTACATGTGTATGCATACATATCATGGATTTATAAAGAAAAAGATCACAAATCAGTGGGAAAGAGAAGGATTATTCAATAGTGGAAAAAAAATATGGCCTTCATTTCAGGAAGATTTCTGAATAAAAAGTTATTTCTATACACTAGCAATAACTAGGAATTTTAATAATAATAAAGGTGCTATTCATAATAATCAAAACTAAAAGTGTCTAGAAGTACATCAAATTAAAGCTGTTCTTTAGAGAAACTATTATAGTGCTCTATGGAAATGCATAAAAGAAGACCCAGGTAACTGGAGAGATATACCATGTACATGGATGACAAGACTCAATATCATAAAGGTGTTTTTCCCTGATTATACAAATTCAGTGCAATTCCAATTAAAATTGCTGTATTATTTCCCAACTTGACATGCTGAACTTAAAATATATGTGGAAAGGCAAAGGACTAAGGATAGTTAAGTCAATTTTGAGGAAAATTAAAGTCCCACCTTCCCTGATATCAACACTTAATATAAAGCTGTAATAATTAAGAGCGCTGTCTTAATTACTGGTATAGGTTCAGTGACAGGAAAGAAGATTCATGGAACAGACTAGAAAGCCTGGGAACACACCCACAACTACATGGGAACTTAGCATAATGCACAGTGGTATTATGGAGCAGGGGAAAAAGCATAGATTGTTCAATAAATGATGCTGAGATAATGGTTCCCAAATAGAATAAAGGCAAAATTAGATTTCTGCTTCATACCATTCATAACAACAATTTCCAGATGGATTAAAGATCTAATAGGAAAGACATTTGTATAATATTTAGAAAAAAATAGGAAGCTGTATTGTCTCTAGAAAAGATTTCATTTGTTTTATTGTGGTCAAATACACATAAAATTTACCATTTTTGCCACTTACTGGTGTACAATTTGGTAGTCATGTTATTATGTTATTGTCACTACTGTCTATCTCCAAAACTTTTTCATCTCTCTTGGGAGGGATTATTTAAGTTACACAAAGCACCACTGAGGGATGCTATTGCATCCTTCAAATGAGAGAGGATGATGACTTGAACTGGAGTGGAAACAGTGAAGATGGAGAAAAGTAGATGGATTTAGATACATTTTGATGGCAGAGAACAGGAATTATGAATGATTCGATAGGGTGTAAGGGGAAAACAAGGAGTCAAGGTTAACATCTAGGATTTTTGTTTAAGCTACAAGGTGGATCACTTACCATTTATCATCAAAAACTATTTGCCATTTGTTTGGTGCAATGGGGAGGATGAGTGGAGGAAGAGGTTGCGGAGAAAAAATAAAGAATTCTGTTTTGGACAGTTAAGTTTGAAAGGCCTGTTGGACATCCAAGTGGAAATGTTCCAGTAGCTCTTGTAGAGATGAGTCTGAAAAGACTGTAGCTGGAGGTACAACTTTGGGATTACTGGCATATAGATATTTAAAACTGTTGTGTGTTAGGATTAAATTTGACTGCATTATATGGAACATATAAGACAATAATGGCTTAAATACATACATGATTTCATAGGTAGGCAGGCCACTGTTGGTATGGCAGCAACTCCATCATCATCAGGGACTCAAATTCCTCTGTTTTGCTGTTCTGCCATCCTTAGAGTGTTGCTTCACGGTTGAGATGGCTGCTTTAATTCCAACTGCTACATGCCCACAGCAAGAGGGAAGAGGGAAGGATGAAGAAAGGCATATATTCTTCTCTTTAAGGATTCTCCTCAGAATTTGCATGGGACACACTGACTTATAGCCCATTAGCTAGTTCTTCATGACCACACTTGACTGAAAGGAAAGATAGTTGATATGGTCTTTAGTTATTTGTATTTCCAGCTACAACTTGGGTTTTATTAAGAACGAAGAGAATGGATGTTTTGTTTCAGTTTCGTTTCTTCTCCAACCAGAGCAATGAAGTTACCATATGAAGGCTCCAGTGAATTCCCTATTGTTAAATTTAGTGGAATCTTTGAATATTTGTTTCATTTGGCATTCATAATCTCTCCCTTTTTTAATTTTGTGTCCTTCTTATTCTCCTTTTCAGAATTTGGCCTTTGTTCTCTGCTTAAAATTAGTGCTTCATATTTAATGCAATCACAATCATAATCCCAAAGGCTGTATAAAGTAGGAATTGACATGCTGACTTTAAAATTAATGTGGAAGTGCCAAAGACCTAGAATAGTCAATCTTGAAAAGGAAGAACAAAACTAGAGAACTTACACTACCTAACTTTAAGATTTACTATAAAACTACAATGATCAAGACAGTGTGGTATTTATACAAGCACAGACAAACAGATCAATGAAATGAAATCGAGTCCAGATAAGGCCTATACTTCTATAGTCAATTGATTTATATAGTCAAGGCACAAAGTCAGTTCAGTAAGGAAAGTACTTTAACAAATGATACTGGAATTATTGGATATCCATATAGAGAAAAAAAAATGAACCTCGATTCCTGTCTCGCCCAATACACAAAAACTAATATGAGATGGATCAAAGACCTAAAAGGAAAAGCTAAAACAAAAGTGCATTTTAGACAAACTCATAGGAGAGTATCTGTGACTTTGAGGTAGGCAAAAATTTCTAAGGACACAGAATACAATAACCATAAGATAAGAAATCTGATGAAAGAGACACTACAAAAATTAAAACTTCTTTTCATCAAAAAGTACCTTTAAGAAAATGAATAGGCAAGTCACAAACTAGGAGAAGATATTTGCAGTGTATTTGTCCATAAATTTAATAAAGGATTTGTTTCCAGAACTGATAACTCATTTAAAAAACAAGAACAATTTAAAAATGGGCAAAAGAACAGACATTTCACACAAAAATAAATGTAAATGGCTAACATGAGTATGAAAAAAGGCTTAACATAATTAGTGTTCAGGGAATTGCGAAAATTAAACCACAGTGAGATACTACCATGTAACCACTAAAACAGCTAAAATCAAATGAGCTGAGTGCATCAATTACTGGTGAGGATGTGAAGTGACTGGGACTCATACTCTGGTATTATTTGTTTAAGTGTAAAATGGTACAATCACATTGTAAGAATGTCTGGCAGTGTCTTATAAAGTCAAACATATCTGCCCTATGACCCAGCAATTCCACAACTAGGTATTTACCTGAAAAGTAGAAACATGTCTGCAGAGATGTGTATCAGAATGCTCACAGAGGTCTATATTAAGCAGAATACATCCCCTTATGCTGCAAAGATGTCCATTCCCAGATTCCTGGAACCTGTAAATATGTATGTTACATGGGAAAAAGGACTTTGCAGGTGGAATTAACATTACAGATCTTAAGACAGGGAACTGTGTCAGGAGAGCCTAATATAATCACACAGACCCTCAAAAGTGGATGAGAAAAGCAGAAGAGTCAGAGATGTGGCACTGTGAGAAGGCTAGGCTGTTGATTCTGAGGTGTAGGGGAGGCCTCTGTGAGCTAAGGGTGGCACCAGACAACTAGTAAGGAAACAAGGACCTCAGTCCTACAGTTGCACAGAAGTGAACCTTTCAATAGCCTGAATGAACCTGGAAGTGGATTCTCCCCGAGAACTTTGTCTATGGAATACAGCTCTGCTAACACCTTGGTTTCAGCCTTGTAGACTTAAAGCACAGAAATTCAATATAAAACTGTCTAGGAATCTGCATGACATTTTGAGAAACACTTTTATACACTGTTCTTCAACAACCTCACACAAGCCTATGGTTTCAATTAATATGTGCTGATGATTTATAAATCTATATCTATAGCTTAGACTTCTTGGCTGAATCCACATAGCTTAATGGACATCTTACATGAATATTTTATAAGAACCTTAATCTCAGCAGGTTGAGATTGGGAATTCATTCTTTCACTCAAATCCATTTTTCTTCCTTTATTTCCTTATTTTGGTAAATGCTATACTCGGCAGTCCAAACCAGAAATTAAGAACCATAATTGTCTCTTCCCTCTTATCCATTACCCTCCATCTCTCATCCAAGTGGTTGTCCAATTCTGTTCTCTTAATAGCTTGTCTGTTTCTTTTTGATCATTCTCAGAGTCACTGCCGTAATTCAAGTATGTTTCTCCTTGATTATTGTCAAAAGCCTCCCTATTGGTTTTCCCTATTTCTATTTTGACTCTTTTCCAGTCTATTTTCAATTTCATCAGGTTTTCTAAAAAGAAATTTTTTATCGTGTTACTCCATTTCTTAAGGCAATCTCCCAACAGCTTCCCATAACTCAGAGTTAGCTGCAAGATAAGCTTCACATTTGCCATCCATGGACAAATGGGGAAGCATCAAGGTTGGTCAGGAGGTGGAATGGAGTGGGGGAAGCCATGGGCCAAAGCTTTTGTTACGGTTTTCATGGGAAGGAATGGATGAGACAGGGTGGGCAAGCTAAACAAGTTGAGGGTTGGATAGTTTAAAGAATTTTGGCAGGCTCTGAGCTATAGAGCTGGTCCCTAGTTATCTGATATTGGCTCTGGGTTGATTTAGGGCAAGGGGAATATTGGCTTGGT